TACTTCATTGGAGCAAATTATTTTCACATCACATGATCTTGAAAGAATAGTGCACTCATCTTTATTTACATGTTTAGTAGGCAGAATGTAAATAGCATTTTCAGTGTATTCTCTAATACATTTAGATAATACAATTTTTTTTCCATATGACTAATCTTACTATTCTACTACAGTTTGTTTTTTAAATAGACTTAGGGTAAATTGATTCCAAATTTGCTGAGTTGGAAAAAACTCCCACTCGGCTGTATGTCTAGCTTAACTCCAGGCACTATAACAACGTCAGTTAGCTGACGCTGTGAGCCAATCAGTAGCTCCCCATTCATAAAAATGGCTTGAAAAAGTATGTGTCTTTTTTATGGGAAGCCTCTGATTAGATTACAGCAATAGCTGACTACTGTAAGGCAATCAACTATGTCGCTGCCGATGATGCCCAAGCCTTCCATTCTGAAGCATTTCAGAAAGTGTAAAGAAAGGCGGGCAGAGTGATCCAGTGCTGGAGCACAGACATTGGGTTTGGGTTAAAAGTTTACCATCTAATGGTATGAAAGCACCAGGGACCTCCTAATTTAAAGTAAACATTTATGGTGCCAGGAGTGTTCCTTTAACAATTTATTCCAAAGTTTGTTCATTTGGTTTTCATCATCCTGTTTAGTCCCAATATGTCCATATGCACAAAAATTCTATTTCAGTGATACAGATTTTCCAGTTATAGTGACTATTATTAGAAATCAGTAGTGAATGAAGAAAAGGAGATGAAATGGATGGCATGAGCAACAGGAAAAGAATAATTAGCAAGATACAGGGAGACAGATAAAGACTAATAGGTGGGGGACATTACAGAAATAAAAAAATAAAAAAATATTACAAACAAACATACTCTGAGAAAGTGATTTATGCAAGAAAGACAAACATAAAATAAACTTTTAAAATGTAGTTTATATATTAGACTCCAGTCTACTGCACTAAACCACCATTAAGGGTTTCAGCAATTTATGCTACAGTAGCTCCTCTGTGAGATCGGATGAGATGGGCTGGCCTTCGCTAGCCAAATGCATCAATGAGCCTTGGGCATCCAGGACCCTGATGTCGATTCACCAGTTGTCCTATCTTGCATCACTTTTGGTAGGTAATAACCACTGCATACCAGGAACACCCCACCAGATTGACTGTTTTGGAGATGCTCTGTCCCAGTCGTTTAGCCATCACTATTTGGCCGTTGTCAAAGACACTCATATCTATTCACTTGTCCATATTTCCTGCTTCCAATACATGAAATTCAAGAACTGACTGTTCACTTGCTACCTGATAAATCTCACCTCTTGACAGGTTTCATGGTAAGGATATAATAAAGATTATTCACTTCACCTGGCAGTGGTTTTAATGTTGTGGCTGATCAGTGTATATGCTAAGAATTCACTCCACACTCTAATTGCAATATAAAATACTTCTATTTCAAAAATAAGCAATAACTGTAAACAATAAAGTATAAATAGTGGCAAGACTTGCACAATACAACAAAAGTACAGGTTAAATCTTAAAACTAGCAGAGAACAAAATCTTGCCAGAAATCCTACACTCAAAGTTTCTACTTCTCCCCAGATACCTTTCTCTGTTTGTTCCCAGATGTTCCTTGTTTTTTGAGAGAAGTGCCTGTAGATGTCGATATGTTGGGGTAGGATTTGTGGCCTGATTTTCCTTTTCACTGTTTATATTTTACAGTTTATTTTTGTGCATTCTTATAGTATAGATTCTAAATTACATATAACATAAAAAGAATGCAAAAGTGAACAATAATCATGCAATACATATCTGCCAGTTGCCAATTGTAGTGGAAAACAATGTAGTTGAAGCTAAAATAATTAATTTACAATCTTAATCTATGTAGATTTTTAGCATATGAAGGCGCATATGGATCGAAAACCTGTTTACATATATATCATTATATTCTCAAATGTTCTGGTTATGCAAAAAAGCATCCAAGCCTTCTTAAAATAATCTATAGAATCTGATAATGCAACCTCTTTATGCAGAGAATTCCACATCTTTATTATTCCAGTCTCAATGGGTAACCTCTTGTCTGTTGTATATTCCTGCTAATGAACATGTTAGCACATAGCAGTTTGTACTGATCCTGTTTATATTTGTATAGTGCTATCATATTCCCTTGACATTCCTTTTTTCTAAAGAAAACAAATCCAGTTTTTCTAGCCTTTCCTTATAGCTAATTTTTTCCACTCCCCTTACTAGTTTTGAAGACCATCTCTCCACTTTTCTAGTTCTGCCATATCTGAGAATTGCATCACATATTCAAGGTCTTACTATTTAATTTTAAAGAGGCAAAATTGTATTTGGATCACATGAATCAAAACCCCTTTTTATACACAAAAGCGCCTAACTTGCTTTTGCAACAGCAGACTGGCATTGCATACTGTTCCATAGTGTGTGATCTATAATTGTTCCCGAGTCCTTTTCATTGAACGGTATCCCTAACTCAACCCCATTTAGTGAATAAGTGGCTTGTGGGTTCCTTATTCCAAAATGCATGGTTTTACATTTAACTGTATTGAATCTCATCTGCCACTTGCCTGCCCAGTCCCCCAATTTATCCAAATCCCTCTGTAGAGAAGCTATTTCATGTTCAGAAAACAGACAAATGGCAGAACCCTTTAATACTCCACTTACCACTGTTTTCCAATTTGAAAATGTCCACAGCCTGACTGTTTAAATAAATACATACTTCTAACACTCATTTTGTGAGCTTGTATAGTAGGCATGTTTCAGTTACAGAGAAATAGTTACATTATTGCAATGCATGGAAATATATAAAACTCCAGTGGTTATATGTGGTACTGCAGGTGAATATACAGAATGTGCATGGTAACATTTACCCTCACATATTTATTAATTGTCTCTTTGTCAATACTTTTATAGCATTAAATAATCACTATAGAAACAATAGTAAACATTTAAAAATGAAGGGCATTTATATATTTTTTCAGATTATAAATTTTAGCATTATGAAGTGTCGTATTAGTTGTTTGTAGTTTGTTGTCTGTTTGTTTTCCTGTAAATGTTTAGCATCTCCTTTAGACTATTTTCAAATGTACCATCCTGTTAGCAAAATAAAAAATACTATCATATGCTTTTTATTGCACATTGGGCAAATTCAGCAACATTATGGTCTTTCTCTATTAACCATGTGTTAACCTAAGAACATTAGCACTCTCACAGTGCCATCTAGTGGATACAGTCTACTTGTTATAGATATAGGTCAAGTGGATGATAGATAGATCTTTGACCTTATAACTTAAGTAAAAGCTGGACATATGTAATACCTCATTTCAGATAACTGCATTTAATATAAATTGTTTTAATGTAAAAAAATTATCAAAATATCTGTGAACTTAATTAAGTTCTGTGAATTTGGCTTCATTGTAATATGCTTAAAATAAAATAAAACAAGCCATAATCACCCTTTATTAAAAGCAAAACCAATTTATTTTTATTCAGTTGTTTTAAAAAAAAATTTGTTATGCTTACTATCCAGTGGATACAATTCAATTTATATATATTTTTTAATGCATATGTGCATATGTGTCAAATACAGCATACCAAAATAACTGCTTGTGAATTATTTTTAAAATGTGTTTATTATAATCCAAAAGCAAACCATTCTTAATTCACATATGTTCTACATTGTCTAAAATTAGTGCAAATTTGTAAAAATCTGGAAGGTTTCCCCCCTCCCCCAGAATGAAATGCTAATTCCCGATAAGGATATGTAGTACAGATTGTTTGCTCTGACAAACTATGCAGGTGATATTTGACGGCAGAGATACAAGAGAGGTTCTCTTCCCAAGGGCTTCTGTATGTACTGTAGACTTGAAGAGGAATCAGTGTATTTCTATTTGCATTGCACATATCAGTGCTTGAAGAGTTGTAAGTATGGCTGTTAACTTGATTAATCACTGTTAGTGATAGCTGTCTTTTTACCTTTAAACCACTGCAAGAAGAAGAAGGAGTTAAGGACATATCTAGAGAAAATTTGCAAATATAACATGAATGATGTTAAACTATAAGATGGAATCCATACATTCCAATGTACTAAACTATGACCCACTGGTGTGTTACAAAACACAAAGCAGATGCATCTGATATTTACAAGACTGAATCTGGAGGCAAATATAAATAGAGATTCAAGAATAGCCTGCGGATATGGTATAAGGAATAATCAACTGCCAAAATATCTTATGCTGTGAGCTTAGAGGTCAAAGTTATATGACTTACAATATTATGCAGTATATACTAGATTTTTGCAGAGCATACATTTTTGTTCATCCGAACCAATTCTGCAGAATTTGTTTTCAGGTTGGTAGGAATTAGTTCATGCCACTTTTTTACTTGGCTGGATTCTGGTACCCCAAAAATTTCAAAAAGCCATTTGGATATCCAACACAGCAGGAAAAACGCTGGCATGGAAAATGGCTACAAGATTGCCTGGATTAGTGGCTATACTTTACAAATAATGTTTGCAATACCAATTCATTCTGAGTTGCCAAAATTAGATTAGTTGCCAGATTAGATCAGGATTAAAAAAAAATAGGATGTAATTGAGCGTAGTTTTACCTTTTCTTTTTGCAATTTTGTATTACTGGAAAACGGGAAAGAGGAGTCATTTCAAGTAGAAAATAGAGGATATATACAAAAATGAAATGAAAAAGTCAGTGAGCAACTGACTTCCCACTCACCTCTACTATCCTCACAAGAACAAATCTTTCCCACACATCTAGTATGTAGCATCAGTGACTGTTCTAAAGTTTTTGGTTTTTTTTTCTTTAAAACTGTGCCCTAGTAGCAGCAGAAGTCATTTAACTGGAAAAAAAAGTATTTTTCAAAATCTGAAAGAGTGGAACAGGTGAGTGGGTCATGAATTGGACATTGACTTTTACCTTTTATTTTCTGAAAAATCTTCTTTTTCTAATTAAGTTACTTCCCACTTTATTCAAATGACTTTCATTGTAACAGTGTGGCTAAACCTGCTATCTCCACAGATGCAGTTTGCAGAAACTGAAGATAAGGCACTGTTTGTCTATCAGACAATGAGCAATTTGGTAATGTAGAAAGAAGAGAGAAAAAAAAAAAAAAAAACCATTTTATTAAATAATATAGTATCTAAAATCTAAAGGTAACACAAAATGGAGAAATAAAGTAAACAGAGTGCTGGTCAGGAGTCCGGATACAAGTCAAGGGCTCATGAGCTGCACCACTGTAACCACCTAATAGGGAGCTCCAATGAGGGGGTAACCCTCCAAAATATGTAGGTAAATGTGTAGAGTCCCACGAGGGGAAACCAACATCAGGAGAGCTCCACTATATAAGAAATGAGGAAGGGAGGCCCTACCTTTAATCAATCTAAGGATAAAAAGGGATATGCAAGCAAAAAGTATAACTTGAAAAAAAGGGAGATCTACTAAACGGTGCCCAGGGGATCAATTGTCTGGAGTACTAGCTAGCATCTAAGTTCCAGTTCCCCTAGTTTCCGACTAACAGGAAGGTAGTGTAAACGAGGTTAGGGAAAGAGAAGAGGCACAGGGTCCCCAGAGAACAAGAGACCGGGTAATCAGGTTTAAACGCAGATGAAAAGCCTCACACAAAAAATAATTAAATAAATAAATCTCTCAATTCACCCTAAAAGTTACCTCGACACCGTGGTCTAACCATTAGTGTCTACCTGAACCAACTCTCCCTACTAAAGTTATAAATAAATACCTAAACATCAATAACCATAGTGGTAACAAAAATAAAAAAGTTCTACCAAGTGCAGAGATTAAAGAAACAGAAACCACTCAACACGTGTTTCAGCATGTTCAAAACACTATCATCAGGAGTCTGTGAACATGAGTAGCTTGTTCCATTTAAATACCTATTGCTGATGAAACATGGCCATCAGCTGTTCAATGTGGGAGTTCCTGAGGGACGGAGTATCTAAACTCTATTCTGCAGACTACCAAGGGTGTGGCATGTCGTCACATATTCTACATCTCAAAAACATAGTGAAGACGCACCCTGCCAATGACATAGTTTAGCTGGCAAAATCCCTGACCCCAAAGACTGCTAGAAAAGGTGAGGCTGCAGGTTCAAATCCCAGCAGGGCCAACCCAACACTCCATCTGTCTGAGGTTGGCAAAACAAGCTCCATCAATGGGGCAACATTAACATTTCCTACTGGTCAGCTCTGAGTCCCACTAGGAGATAGGTGCCACATAAATACCTGTTGTTAATATTCTTTTAACCCCTGTCCTGACCTACAGAGTGGAGCCAAGCGGGGCGTAATTTGGACGTGATGGCTGAATATGTGAGGTGGGCTTAAAGTATCCCCAAAGCTCACCTCATGGTGTGACTGGAACATCTACTGTATTATGGAGTGGAACTGACTGGAAGTGTGCGGGGAATAGCATCTTGGCAGTGCTCACAACATTGTGAGAGCTGCACTGAGTCCCATCCAGTATGGGCATCTATTGCATGTCTCATTGATTGTACAGTCAAAAAATTGCCACACAAGATCTCAGGTCAGGGTACATTAAATGTACAGTAAAGGGACCTGTCTTATGGCTTGAATAATGCCTATAAACATATAGAAATAAACATCCAATCAGGGGAAGTAAACCCCAATCAGGATGTATAAAATAAGGCAGACAGTATCTTGGCTCGAATGGCAAAATGAACAAGGTGAAAATAAAGTGGCTGTTCATGTTCATATAAAAAGTGTCATATTTACATATCTACAAATTAACAAATAGTATAGTAGGGAGCTTAGAAAGGAAGAGTTCCTCAGTGTTGTTTAAGTCCCCTTAATAGAGAGAGTATTACAAAAAAGCTGAAAAAGAGAATCCCTCATTTAACCCTGCTGGGGATAACGTATATAGTTTGTAAATCCAATACGATTCTCTCTGCTGTAGTTTTCGGTCCCAATTTCCTTTACGTGGAGGTTGGGGGAATGATTCAATACCCATGAATATAATTTTAGTAGCAGAATTAGAATGGTGAGTTTTTAGATGTCGTGAAATTGGTGTCTCTAATGGTCTCCTTACGGAATTAACGTGTTCTCTTATGCGAAGCTTGAAGGAGGCGAAACGTTTTGCCTACGTACTTCAAACCCCATGAACATAACAGGAGGTACTCTAGCCCTTCGGTACGGCAGTTAAATAATACAAACTTGTTTTAACAAACTAACAAGAGCCTTTAAATGCCAGATACATACATGTCAACACTTAACACCTATATTTCAAAAAACATAAAATTAGAAAAAAACATAAAATTAGATGGGTATTGAATCAGTCACCCAACCTCAACGTAAAGGAAATTGGGACCGAAAACTACAACAGAGAGAATCATATTGGATTTACAAACTAAATACATTATTCCCAACAGGGTTAAATGAGGGATTCTCTTTTTCAGCATTTTGGCCCTGCTGGGATTTGAACCTACAGCCTTCCTTTTTCTAGCAGGCTTTGTAGTCAGGGATTTGCCAGCTAAGTTATGTCATTGCCAGGGTGTGTCTTCACTATGTTTTTGAGATGTAGAATATGTGAAGACATGCCACACCCTTGGTAGTCTGCAGAATAGAGTTTAGATACTCTGCCCCTCAGGAACTCCCACATTGAACAGCTGATGGCCATGTTTCATCAGCAATATGTATTTAAATGGAACAACAAGCTGCTCATGTTTACAGGCTCCTGATGATAGTGTTTTGAACATGCTGAAATGTGTGTTGAGCGGTTTCTGTTTCTTTAATCTCTGCACTTGGTAGCACTTTTTTATTTTTATTACCACTATGGTTATTGATTTTTAGGTATTTATTTATTTATAACTTTAGTAGGGAGAGTTGGTTCAGGTAGACACTAGTGGTTAGACCACAGTGTTGAGATAACTTTTAGGGTGAATTGAGAGATTTACTTTTGTGTGAGGCTTTTCATCTGTGTTTAGACCTGATTACCCGGTCCCTTGTTCTCTGGGGACCCTGTGCCTCTTCTCTCTTCCTAACCTCGTTTACACTACCTTCCTGTTAGTCGGACACTAGGGGAACTGGAACTTAGATGCTAGTACTCCAGACAATTGATCCCCTGGGCACTGTTTAGTAGATCTCCCTTTTTTCAAGTTATACTTTTTGCTTGCATATCTCTTTTTATCCTTAGATTGATTAAAGGTAGGGCCTCCCTTCCTCATTTCTTCTATAGTGGAGCTCTCCTGATGTTGGTTTCCCCTTGTGGAACTCTACACATCACCTACTCCTATTACCTAAATTCTAAATGTGCTTGTGTACAAATACGTGAATGGAAAATAGTAAATATCACTACTGGAGATCGATGGAGATGATTAAATAAGTAGAAAATAAAAACATTTGACGTGTGCATGACTATACCTGTATTGAGTTTACTCCACTACTGCACGTGACCTTATTACAGGGTATGATGTTGTTTAACCCTTACCAATCTATAATCAAGGATTTGTTATCGCTACTACCTCTATCCACCTAACCAGGCTGCTTATTTTACCTAGTCTAGTTACATTTTGATATCTATCTCCAGTCGTGATATTTACAATTATGGTATTGGTTTAACTTCCTAATACAAATCACTCCATTCACGTTTTTGTACACAAGCACATTTTAGATAATATATGACTTAATAAAATGTATTTATTTTTTTTCTCTTCTTTCTATTTTACCAAATTGCTCCTTGTCTGATAGACATTCTGCAGTAATTGGTTACCTGTATCACAGTACTGTTATCCCAGTCCCCCCTGGTACACATATTATATATATATATATATATATATATATATATATTTTTTTTTTTTTTATTAGTTTTCATTTGGTGTTGCCCCCATCCATTAGTGTACCAGACATTGGCTCTATTCCAGTCTCTCTTCTTTCAGTATTGCTAAACCTGTTGCAAAATGTTTCTGATTACGATTCAATAATACAAGATTACGATTTAATAACACTAGACATATTCATATAGATCCAAACCTACTGACATTACAATGGATCCATGAACTCAAGTCAAGAAGGTAACTATACTTTCTGACTCAACCATCTGAATGGCATGAAAAAAACCAACATCCCTCAGACCACGTGACATTGTTCTGGTGCTCACCATTGTAACTTCATCTTCATGTGGTACACAGGCGGGAGTGTTCTTCCATTACAGTAGCATATTTGCTTCAAGGTTTGCCTTGTGGTGTGCTCAGTTACTGTTGTAAAAAGCAGAAATTTTTGTTTTTGGGTATTCCCGTATAAAGGTATTAGCTGTTACTTCGTTAACAATGTGTTATGGTTTTATGCTTATCTCACCATTCTCTGTAAACACAAGAAACTAAAGAGATTTATAACCGAAACAGTGAATGTTGATGATATGAAAAACCGAATTGTATAAGCCAGACCAAAATAGGTAAACTGAAAAAAAAATCTTAAAAGCATTTAACAATTTGGTTGTTTGACTTTGAACACTTTTTAGTGTTGGGTTGCTGAATCTGACACCAATGTCCATTCAATGTAGCGTACATCAAGCGTTGTTTTATAATTTGTCACTATAATAGCCAAACATTTTGAGGGTGTTTGCATACCTCATATGTTAAGTTGTTGCACTGCTTGGCTGTTTGTGTTAATTTAAAAAGTGTAATCACATTTAATTTCCTTGGTAATGTGTGTTTTGCATTTTCTCTTGAACAGAAAACATGAATTTGAAGAACTGAAATCGAATGTAGATTTAACGAGGGGGGTTATTTTTATCAAACAGGGTAAGCTAAGCAATTAATATTCACTGCTAATGAATCCTTTGAGTGCAAGTGGGAGAAATAATTTGTTGTAATTTGTTGCACTTCCTTCTCATGCAAAATGGTTAATGACAATGAAGCAGCTGTAACCCTAAAAAAACAGATTACCTACCTTGCTGTGAAAGAGGACAGGTGGCTTAACAGATACATCTGTTGCATAAATAATGGAATAGCATATCAGTGTTTTACAACCAGTATGTGTCTGATAATTACTCTATTTAATTATTAAGAATTTTTAAAATTCATTCTATGTGTTAACGAGTGATAGAATTAGTATGTCTACATTTGCTTGTTAATTTTTTAAAATATCTATTATAAATATTATTTGCAAGTTATTTTATTTTATTGTTTAGATTTTTCTATTTATAGAAATATTCTAATTTTTTTTTTAGAAATAACACATAAATTGACTAGTTGTATTCATCCTAATGTGTTTTTAAAGGATACATAGAATAGATGCAAGAATAGTCTATGGATAATTGTGAGTAGAACAATTAGGAGGAAATCTGGAATCTACTGTGATCCCACTTATGAAGAATATGGTTTTAATGATGCTATTTATCTGAAATCATGTCCCAGGTTATTCTGTTGTTCCTGATAGGTCATCCTTTTAAAAACACACAGCCCAGCAACACTCCTTGTAATCCAGTGAGCAAATATTTAACTCAGGTAGATACACAGGTAAGGTGAGAAGTGACACTATTTATAATCAAGTTCTAATTGACAAAGAACCTTACTGAAACTTGGAAGTTTTATGTATAAAGACTGTGTGTTCTGAATAGTAGTGCATACATTGAAAAGCAGTCACAAATACAATGTATCAGCTGTTTTCACTGGTCTCCATGGTGACTGACCAACTTTTAGCACTTTAGACCACCTTACAGCCCACAACACTGAATACAATTATTACTTACTGGATTTATAAATGTACTGGACATGTCAGGTCAGGGCCAGTGCAAGGATTTTTGTGGCCCCAAGCAAAGGAAAGATTTGCACCCCCCATGTGACATCACAATGCCCCACCCATATGATCTGCCAAATGAACTTATGCCACTGCTGCATACAGTGTGCACACAGTGTGTGTTTACATTAAAAAGCCTGCAGAGACAGGCTATAGACACCAGAACCACTACATGAAGCTGCAGTGGTTCTGGGGACTATAGTGTCCCTTTAATGTGAGGAAAATTAGAGATTAGTAGACATGTGCAATTCGTTTCGGTCCAAATTAAAATTTGGTTGAATTTCGGGTAATTCGGACATTCGGGTGCCCCCATTAGGTCATTAGGCCCCCCCAATTTGTATTTAGGGCCCCCACCCACCGCTCATGGGGGAGGACATTAGGTCCCTCCTCCCCCTTATTCTTGTTTAGGGCCCACACCCATCGCTCAGGGGTGAGGGCTAGGGGGGAGGACATTAGGTCCCCCCCCAATTTTTATTTAGGGCCCCCACCCACTGCTCAGGGGGAGGACATTAGGTCCCCACCCTTATTCTAGTTTAGGGCCCCCACCCACCGCTCAGGACAATAGGTCCCCCCCCAATTTGTATTTAGGGCCCCCACCCACCACTCAGGGGTGGGGGCCAGGGGGCAGGACATTAGGTCCCCTTCCCCAATTTGTATTTAGGGCCCCCATCCACCCCTCAGGGGGGAGGACAATAGGTCCCCCCCTTATTCTAGTTTAGGGCCCCCACCTGCCGCTCAGGGGTGGGGGTCAGGGGGAGGACATTTGGTCCCCCCCCCCAATTTTTATTTAGAGCCCCCACATGCCGATCAGGGGTGAGGGCCGGTGGGGAGGACAATAGGTCCTTCCCCCTTTTTTACTTTAGGGCCCCCACCCGCCTCTCATAATTTTTACTTAGTATTAGTAAATTTGGCTGAAATACCAATTTAGGTCTTTCAGCCTTTTGGTAGATAACTCCCTAATACCATGGGAATTAAGGAGTTATCTACCAAGCGGCTGCAAGAGAAGTGCCGAAGTTGCCGAAGTTCCGAAGTCCCGAATTTCGAAATGCCGAACCAAGCCGAATATTTTCCCCATGCACATGCCTAGAGATTAGTGCCACGAATAATATACTAGATTGCCTACTTACAACCAGATGAGGATGATGGGCTCTGGCTGCGGTTTGGCTCCACTGGTCTGGTGTAGAATAGGCTCTCTGGCGGCTGTTTGTAACTGTGGCCACAAAAGTCAATGTTCTGGGGGAAGGTGAAGCAGCTCCTTTTTTTTTTTTTTGGGCCCCTTGCGCAGCTCAAGGTTTGGGCCCCCAGGGCCTGACGGTGAGTATGTCCATAAGGCCCACTCATAAGTCCACCTACATGTTCCACCCATAAGTTCGCTCACAGGGAGTGCAGTGTTTAGGGGATGTGTTACGTTAGTGTAGAGGATATAAAGTGTGTGCTTATGGAATGTAGTGTATAGGGATACCAAGTTGTGTAGGTGATGCAGTGTGTGTGTAGTGGATGCAGTGTGTTTTTGTGTAAGGGATAGAAAGCAGTGTGTTTGTGTGTTTCTGGTTGTGTTTAAGGGATGCATTGTGTGAATCTGTGTTTGTATGAGTAAGGGATGCAAGGTGTGTTTCTGTGTATGTAAGGGATGCAATATGTGTGTGTCTGAAAGGGGTGCATTGAGTGTGTGTGTGTGTGTGTGATGCTTTTGTGTAATACCTCTTTAATTGGAACTCAACTGCAGAATTTTCTGAGGGCAGGAACAGTAAGTTTCACCTCCTATTATATTGGAGTGAAATCAGTGGACTGTATCTTTAAATAATAATCAGGAAAATGCCAAGTTAGTTCCAACTTGAATTTTAATAATGAAGTTTTAGCCTTAGCAGCAATCCTTATTTGTCAACAGAGAGTTTAAAGAAATTAAATACTATAATTAATTGATATGACTTGCTTTCCTTGACAAAAGATTTACTTAACTTAGAAGCACTCTGGCACTGGAAGGGTTAATTCACCCAATGGAGGAAGAGGAAGGAGTCTCTTTTAACAAACTGCAGTTTAGTAGTGAGAGAAAGGAAGTCCGTTTGTCCAAGCCGAGGTCTGAGAGAGGAGAAGGTAGAATTCCGTTTATAAGCCGAGGTCTGAGAAGTGGAGCCGGTAGCATCGAGTAGAGCAGCTGATCTCACTGCCGCACCTGAGTGAATAATCCAGCACTTTGAATCTGGCGCGGTCTTCCTAAGTATCGTGGAAAGACCGCGTCAGAAAAAAGGGGCGGAGCTAAGCGCAGTGAACCCGGAAGTGGGTTCCGGCGGCAGCATGAATGTTGGGTATACCTGACAGTGTGTGTGTGTAAGATATGCATTGTGTTTCTGTGTGTGTAAGATATGCATTGTGTTTCTGTGTGTGTAAGAGAAGCAGTGTGTTTCTGTGTATGTGTGCAAGGGATGCATTGTCTTTGTGTGTAATGGATGCATTGTATGTTTCTCTGTGTGTAACGGAAGCATGGTGTGTTTCTGTGTGTGTAGGGATGCATTGTTTATTTGTGTATATATAGGGAAGCATGGTGTGTGTAATGTGAAAGAGAGAGTTTGTGGGGTGGGATAGGGGGTGAGTCCTACCAGCCCCTTTGTGCTTCTCCTTCCCCCCTTGCTCAGCCCCTCTCCCCTCGTGTCCCTTACCTCTCTCCCCTACTGCCCTTTAGTGCTCATCACTGTCCCTTAGTGATCTCCCCTGTCACTTAGTGAACTCCCCGCCCCCTTTCCCATAGTGCTCTGCCCCCCGTCCCTTAGTGCTGTCTCCTACCCCCCCATTGAGCTCTCCCCTGCCCGTTAGTAGTCTCTCCTCTCCTCCCCTGTGCCTTAGTGGTCTCTCCTCTCCCCCAACCCATTAGTGGTCTCTACTCTCCTCCCCCGCTTACCTTGGTGTACTCTCCTCTTCTCCCCCCCTTTCCATTAGTGATCTCTCCTCTCCCCTCACCCTTAGTGGTCTCTGCTCTCGTCTGCCCCACTAGTGGTGTCTCCTCCTCCCTTTTCATTAGTCATCTTTTTCCTCCCCACCTCCTCAGTGGTCTCTACTCTCCTCCCCCCCTTCTTAGTGTACTTTCCTCTTCTTCCCCTTTCCATTAGTGATCTCTCTCCTCCCAGTGATCTCTCTCCCCCTTTCCATTAGTCATCTCTCCTTTCCCTCCCCTTTCCATTAGTGGTCTCTCCTCTCCCCCCTCCCTGTTAGTGGTCTTGCCTCTCCCCTCACCCTTAGTGGTCTCTTCTCACCCCCTCCCCTAGTGGTCTTTCCTCCACCCCCTCCCTCCATTAGTGGTCTCTCCTCACCCCCCTCCCTTAATGGTGTCTCCTCTCCTCCCCAGTGGTCTCTCCTCACCCCTCCTCCCTCCCTTAGTGATCTCTCCTCACCGGCCTCTCCCTCCCTTAGTGATCTCTCCTCACCGCCCCCTCCCTTCCTTAGTGGTCTCTCTTCACCCCTTCCTTAGTGGTCTCTCTTCACCCCTCCCTTAGTGGTCTCTCCTCACCCCCCTCCCTCCCATAAAGGTCTCTCTTCCACCTCCCCTGCTGCCCCTCCCAAGGTGGTCTCTCCCCCACCCCCTCCCTCAGCGGTTTCTCCCCCCATTCTCCTCATCCCCTTCTCCTCCCTGTGTAGCGTGGCAGAGTTCAGGTCCGTGGTACAGGAGTTTCTGTTTCCTGTACCCGGCCGAACTGAAAGGAAGTGCTCACTATAGAGCGCTCAGGCTGCTGCAGGATGAGTGGGGCCGGCACTCCTGGCGGAGCTCCTTCCTAAGGTGTGCCCCAGGCGACTGCATAAGTCGCCTATAGGAAGCGCCGGCCCTGTGTCAGGTGTCTATAGGCACAGAATTCTACAAATTAAAAAAAATCAGTTATAGATATTCATGTATGATAATCGCACATGTTTATATGTACATGCATATTCCTGCTTGTAATGTATTGTGCTTGAATCTGTGAGTATAGAAAGTGTATGCACCCACTGCAATTGCTGCTTAAATACATGCAGGGTCAACGGTAATGTTAGAAGTTAGGGTAAAAAGAGGTTTAAGGTTAGAAAGGGGTTTATTTCAGCATTGGAGAAGAGTGTTATAAGGTACTATGATTATATGCTTGAGAGAGGTTACAGTTGTGTTCTCAAATGTGTTTAGTATTTTTGGATTTAGGTTTAGAGTGTGGTTAAATTTAGTATTGGGTACGTGGTGTGCTTAGTTTCATAGGTGTATGCCAAACCTAGGATTCAGGCAGAGAGTTTATTTTACTTATTTTTTTGCGGTTTTAGGCTTTGAATGCTTACATTTATGAATAAGAAAAGGCTTTGTTTATGTTTGGTGGTTGCTTTTGGGTTCACGAAAAGGGTGTTTACGACATGACTTTTGAAGGGTTGTTTGCAAAGTACTCACCGTCCTATGGTTCCAGTGATTTTTTTGATTTGAAGTAGCTGTTATACAATGTGCACCACTCATTGCCATCTCCTGCTCCTTCTGCAAACACTTTCTTTGTTATCCCTTCCACTTCCTGTCCAACCTAACAAATAAACATTGGAGGAGCTGGTACAGCTTTTATACCACCTATAACTGTTCCTGACATAGCTCTGACATCAAGCTTAGGAGGCTGACTGGACACAGAGGATACTGGCCAAGGCTCTTATCACTTATTTCACTTGAACCAGCCCATGTAAGGTCCAAAAAGGCACATTATAATTGCTGAAAACTGGTGCCCTCTGAGGACAGGCATCTCTGTACACAGGTGCCTACAACGCCTAATGAGAAATACATATCTGGGACCATCCATAGTTTTCTATGTTTCCAACTGGCAAGTCATATGCACACTTCTGTACATATAATATCAAGGGCTGAGTGCTCACCACTAATATTATGCTTAAATAAACACACAGTATATATTTGCTTTCTAGACAAGTCTGATATATCTACTCTGTCTACACAGTTTAAAAGAAATACAGGAAATTTGAGTATTGGGTAATATTCAGTAGCCCTACATACTTAGACTTCCCAGCTGTCCTGCTTACTACTTCGAATGCCACAACAGCGAACACAAGCATACTATTGTCAAACATATGAAAACATAAGTACAGCAGTGAGACATTGGCACAATTTTAGGTAAATTAATCATGCTGGTTTAACATGTCTAAACAATGAGGAAACAATTGTCATTCTGCGATTAACAAGGTAATAAACATGAGATTTATGAGGCGTTATAGGCAAAGAGTTATCAGATTAACTAACATGTGCTGAGTTAGCCTATAGGTTATCCACCGAAGCATTACACAGCTCTACGATATAGCATCATAGAAGATAGGGTGATGGATGGAAGAAAAAATAGGCAAATAACACAAAGAAAATATAACAATAGGAATAAGAGAGCAAGCCCCATATCTAAGTGAACGTGAGCTACATATGGCAGCAGGAAGTATTAGCCTTTATTGACATTATTTAGGCTATGGCCCTAGGGCCTGTTTCAGCTGATCCCCAGTAGTGGCAGGCATGGATCGATGCTAGAGGAGATTGCTTGTGTGTCCACATCACAGCGCTGGGGTAGGGCCCCTCTCCAGCCACATGCCTGAATGAGGGCCTGCATCTGCAATCCACAGACTTGGAGATTCTTTTAATCCAAGTCTCTTCCCCGCCAGGAGCAGCAGGAAGATCCAGATGTAGTGTACCACTGATGGTGGTTGATCTTCGGACTGTGAGGCCAATGCTTTGAGGCAGAGCCTCAGTATGCTCTCAGCCCAGGAGGCAGACGGAAGCATAGGTAGACGCTCATTGACTAGCCTTGCCCTGAGAGGAAGCGCTCTTCTCCGGCTCTGTGTTACTCTGTTGTTCTTCCTGTGGCTTAAGCACAAGGACATACCTACATTCATGTAGTTTACGCCAGAAGCTCCGGAAAGTCTCATCTAGGTGGTGTAAAATATTTTCCATTGATGTGCAATGGAGCTGCTGGGATGGTTACAGGCCTTGTCTGATAATGTGAGGAGCCTCCACCATCTTGATGGAACTTATAAGTTTGGGTGCAACAGGAGTAGCACTTGGAACACGAGGTAAGTGCAGATGCGCTTTCTCAATAGACTTTGGTCGGGACTGCGATATCCCTCAGCAGTCCAGGGGTACGATACAGGGCACTGTATCAATCAAGCATAGGTTCAGGCAGATAGTTTGACGACACCCTCGCGCAGAGTCTGCCAGAAGGCCACCAAGGCAAATCTATGTAGAACCAGAGTTTTATGCAGATCCAAAGGGCTTGCTCGATGGGCTGCAGCATCCCCGTTGTATGTAGCCAGTTACATGCTTAAATTTGGCAAAATTTCAAGTTAAAGGAAATAAATTCAGATTTCCATGGAGGATCTCCAGCAGCACACGTCTACCTCGGTCAGTTGTCAGGCCCCGCCTCCATAAATATTCATTTGATCAATTATTTATTATAAAAAATGCATTTATTACTGAATAAAAATAGGCTACATATACTCCAGTTATTCCATTAAATTGTATATTTTGAAACCTATGTATATGGAGAGGGTAACCAGCCTCTTGAAAAAAAATTGTGGCGTTTAGTACTTAAAGGTAAACCCTACACATTTAACAGCTGTTAATACCTAGAATCTTCTTTGAATTTTAAGCCCTGTTTTTTATACTTGTAAACATCTATCATTTTAGCCTTAGTTTCCAGCATTTTAAGCAACCAATGTATGTTCTTCTATGTGGATTGTATTAGAGTAGTGGTAAAATAAAAAAAATCTCTTCTCACTTCATGGGTATTAACTCAACTCTACTTGAAGGATACACTAGGAGAAGAAGACCTTTCATACTGCATAAGAAATAAAACTACATTTTGAAATGTACATTAACACATCACAAAGTCATGATTTTAGTTACAAAGAAAAAAAAATGTGATTGACAAACATCCAACCTCAACAGGGCTTGCATGACAACTGGTCATATATAAAGTAAGTTAATTTGATTTACATTGAACCACAGCAGTAACACTTTCATTTCTGAAATATCCAGGCTTGAATAGCTTGCTCCAGTTACATATTAAATCATGAGATAACTTATAATCAGTTTGCAATTCTAACAATAATCCCAATCATGACCTTGCGTCCTATGTCTTCTAATCACATCCCTATTTTTGACGGTCCAGTCATATCCACACTTAATAAATGGGAATCCATCCTTGGTACACTCAACATACATCAATGACACACATAGTACATCCATGCCTGAATAAGCCAACACTTCCGCTCTCTCTGGCTAACTCTACAAAAATAAAAACAAAATAGTTCAATAGTCCAGCATAGTCCAGAAAAATAGAATAAGTCTTTCAAGGAGTATAAAGAATCTCAGACACCATAAACTTTGTTCCATAATCTTAGACACCATAATATAGCTAAGGGTAGCAATATGGCTGACAACAAGGTAATGTCAGCTTCCACATAGTTCTTAATTCTTCTGTTTGCTGGATGTTCACCAAAATGCTCTGTGCAACACCCCAATTGTTGAAAGGGTTAATACAGAAATAGCGGCACTAGACAGCACTGCACCTTCAGGTCTTTCCAAGTTAGTTTATGTCCTCATAAGTAAGCATCTCAGTTTCTTCGGCTAGCGTGGATTTTGACCAAACAGATTTATTTGCAAATAGGTAGGTAGGTCAGCTAGAGAGATTGGTGTGTAGTTCCAAATATCAGGCGGCACAAATACTTCAGTACGGTCTCTATAATCATACAAACACAAGGATCAGTACGACATCAATAAGTTAATTATCTAGGCTAAACTCAAATTAGAGACTAAAATTAAACCCTTAACTTGTGTAACATGTACTTCTCTCAGTGTTGCTTATATTTCATTGAATTTGTCCTTTATAAAATTTGAATACATAATTTCCCTTTAGAATGACTTTGTATGGATGAGAGAAGCACTCATTCTATATAAATGCTTGTTGGACAGAATGAGTACTAAAACACTAACATATACATATTGGAATAATTCCCAATAAAATTATGTTCTTAAACTTAAACATTAATTTGATAATCCCAATTAATTACTTTAATAGAATTGGAATGCTGAATTCTGTCAAAATTACGTTACAAATTGACTAAGCGTACATGATTTTACTTTAGTTATTTCACATTGCGAAGCCTATGCAAACAATGTCTATGTCCCAACTTCAGCTTGTACACCCTCTAAGAGCCAGCATTAAAACTGTTTTATCACTCAAAACTGTATATAAAATATTAAAAACATGTACCATCTGTGTATTAGGCTGGGGTTGTTGGGTGTGGTATGGGTTGGAAGCTATGGTTGGTATTGAGGAATCTGCCGGGATGGGTTTGAGCACTAATTTTTCCAGTGACCCTGCTATCCACAATTAAAACAGTGTGTTCCACCAATGCTGAAGTTGCCACCTCTACAAAAGTTTTCTGATTCAATCTCCTATCACCTCTCAAATATCCTTGTCTCGCCTGCTTAAGATCACAATCCTTTGTGACCGATACCACATACTTTTCTCTCTTTCTTTATAACAAAACAACTTGCTGTATCTTTCTCATGAATCTTCCAAAGAAATTGAATTGGGGTCAAAGAGGGCCAGTCACAGGCCAACAATTTGACCAAAAGTGAACAAGGAGGGATACAGGTCGAGATTACCTAACTCACACCCCCCTCTTTGTGTACCCCTCTTTGTGTACCACACAGATATAATATTGATAGGCTTTTGAAGATTTATTGTATAGTTACATTGTGTATGTAAGGCACAGTTGCAATACTGACAGTCTGGGCATGGGCGTAATGCAGATATTATTTTTATTATTATTATGTTATTATTTATATAGCGCCATCAGACTCCGTAGCAATGTACAATGAGTGAACTAACAGACATGTAATTGTAACCAGACAACTGGACATACGGGAACAGAAGGGTGGAGGGTCCTGCTCCATATGCGAGAGAGGTATTTTTCCATTGTCAGAATACATTAAAAACACTAAAATATTGCAAATATTAAAATCATATTGCAGCTGTTTTCTATACCTGCAAGGATATGGTTGTAATACTTCAAGTGATTTCAAATTGAGTATCAAAAGTCTAACCACAAAAACTAAATTTTATATGCTTATCAAAAATGAGTTTAACCCCTCAGCAAAGTTAATAGGGTGACCTCTTCCCATAGTATGATTCCTTTTATAATTATATTATTTATTCTCTTCTGGGTCTGCAAAATGCTTTCAATTTACCAATACAAATATAATACAGTAGTTAAGAATTGCCTCACTTATAAGCAAAATAAATTCTCTGATCTCTATTAAAAATACCATTTCATCGCTATAATCAATGAGGCATACTAAATGAATCTTAATCTTGGAAAAAACCTATCCTATACATCCATTCAATTTTTCTTTTTATATAACCATATATTTTATATAACAATTTTTTATGTTAAAGATAACACATTTTTCTTTTTCTTTGATTTAAATAATGCAATGCACTTTAAAAGTAGAGTTAACTCTAAATACTCCCCTAATGGAAACGTGAATCCACAATTTTGAAAAGGAGATTTTTTTTTTTTTTGATTTTTTTTTCAGGGGCCCCTTTCTTGTCGGCTGATCAGCGTTTTTTTTTACTCTGTTGTAAAAAGACACTTGTGTTTAAGGACCACTATAGGCACCCAGACCACTTCAGCTTAATGAAGTGGTCTGGGTGCCTGGTCCAGCTAGGTTTAACCCTTTTTCTATAAACATAGCAGGTTCAGAGAAACTGCTATGTTTATAAATGGGTTAATCCAGCCTCTAGTTTCTGTCTCATTGACAGCCGTTAGAGGCGCTTCCGCGCTTCTCCCTGTGACTTTCACAGTGAGAAGACGCCAGCATCCATAGGAAAGCATTGTGAATGCTTTCCTATGAGACTGGCTGAATGCGCGCGCAGCACATGCCGCGCATGCGCATTCAGCCGAGGAGGCGTAGAGGAGGAGGAGAGTCTCCCACCCGGTGCTGGAAAAAGAGGTAAGTTTAACCCATTCCTCCCCTAGAGCCCAGCAGGAGGGGGACCCTGAAGGTGGGGACACCATCAGGGCACTATAGTGCCAGGAAAACAAGTATGTTTTCCTGGCACTATAGTGCTCCTTTAATGGCATGCAAATATTTTTAAAATATTCTTCATACTCATTGTAATATCACACATGTCATCTTATAACACAGAACACAACGAATGTAGCAGATATCCAGCAGACATGCCAATACAAAAAGCATATTCATGGACAGGCAATTAACTCAATCCAAAATAAATTAATAAATGTCACACTCGGTGTCCCTCAAAAGAAACACAGACATAATCTAGGTTCCTATGTTTGTGCATTATGCATTTCTGCAAACTATGCAATCAGTACTGCTTTAAGGATAGACCAGAAAACCTGGCAACTGGACAGGAAAGTCGAATTTTGGCAAGAAGTCCATTATTGCAACAGAATATTGGAAATCAGCCAAAACTTACAAAAACATTGTAAGTTTTTTTTTCTTTTGCTTTAAGGATTACAACTCCTATTGCTCTTGGACTAGTATTCAATAATAAATCATTTATTTAATAGATTATTACACTGCTATTTCCATCTATATCAATACTGAGACAAACTTATTCAAATATAATTTAAAAGAACACAGCAAAATACCCATTAACATACATATCAATTAAACTGCATACTTCAAAATGAACTTTTAACAGAATAAACTTTTAACAGTTGTATTCAGAACATATTATTGTAAGGTATACCAATTTTAGTTTGTATCAGATTTATTTAAGAATTCTTAAACGTTCACCATCTTCACCCTTGTCACCACGTGCTCCTTGTGAGCCACGAACACCAGCAGGACCGGCAGGACCAGCAGGACCAGGGGCACCAGGGGAACCATTTTCCCCACGATCACCTCTGGGACTCAATAAACCTTGACTTTCAGGAGTATCTTGTTCTCCAGATGATCCAGGAGGACCTGGAAGACCAGGAAGGCAGGCATACCACAATGACCTTTAAATATTTGTATAACACGTGCATTAACCAGTTGCAACATATATACCCTGTCAATAGAATTTATAGAACATTTGGACCAGATTACACAGACATGGTATCACCTGCATTTGTCAGAACTCTCAAAGACTCAACATTTTTATATTACTCCATGTTAAAGGCATGGCAAAATTTTTAGTTCCCAAAAGTCATAACAACACAGGTAAAAACCTTTGTCCATGGTTTTCTGATCCTACATTCTATAACCAAACTTCAAACCCACTTCTGCACAGTTTGGGTCACAATCAATAAAATCTCAGCATCCCCATACAACAATTTACAGATTTTTACAATGCTACAGAATACATACAATCTAATGGATATACAACAAGTGATGTACTGGATCATTTCAAGTACCTGTAGCAAGCACAAGTTAGCTTACAGCACAAAATGAAGCATGTGTTGGACCGCTGAAAATATAAATTTTGCTCTCTAATTTATAAACATCTACATTTACAACATGAATTCTCTGCAACAAACACACAGGGCAGATAGAATGTTAAAAACAGTCTCCCTCGTTCCCATTTTATTTATCTTATCCCCTATTCTAGCAACATACTATTTGCAGTTCTCTCCTTGAATTGGGGGGGTTGATATTTTTTAGACTGGGAAGTACATATTTCAAAATTACAGGCAATTAAGACTTGATGCTTAAAATCAGAGTTGCACAGTCACATAAAGTAGCAAGCTGGAGTAATGCCAAACATCCATCATACAGGGTTTAAACAATATTCCCTTTTAGCCCCCCCCCCCTTTTTTTTCTAAACCATTTTAGTCTGCAAAACCCACATGTACATGTACATTACATACCATGACATGACAGCCTGTCAAAGGCTTGAAAATCTTTTTACCACCTGCCAAAGGTGAACCTCTACCAAAGAGGAATTGTCTACCATAGACAATTGTGTACAATAATGCCTGCCAAAGGCTTTCCTCCTACCCAAGGAGTCATAAAAGTCTACCTTAGACTTAAAAAAAATACCATGTCTATCAAAGACAGTATGCAGTGAAAATCCCCTTTAAATAAAAATATAAATAGTGAAAAACCCCATTTAAATAACAAATGCAATGTGTGTAGGATGGGAGAAGCAGGTAAAGAATAAAGGTCGTAAAAGACACTAAATTCTCTTACCTGTCATTTCCGTTCTGTCCAATTGCAACCCAAAACTTCTGACACCAATTTGTTGGGGATAAAATAAGCCCGGGCCCTTTGGTGGATGTTTGCCAACTCTAAATATCAGAGCTCTGGAAATTGGAAATGAAAAGCAGAGACGTGTTCAATAACCAATTCCAATTTTATTCATACGTCAGTTATATTTATACCCCGTTTTCATGAGTACGAGCATAAAGGCATGACAATGACGTAGATTGTTTTGCACAAGTTATAATCGGTATGGTCATTCTCGTAAATGATATTAGATAAATTCTTCCCAGAATCGAGGATACAATTCCAAGTTTAAATTAACCCTTATATGAACAGCTAGGATAGATAGTGAGATGGATATTTATATCTACAATCCCAGCTAATGCATTATACTCACTAAAGATACAGCAATCTGCATAATGTTTTGGTGAGTTCCTCACCGTAGTTTTATAACTGCATTATGTCTTTTTGATCTGCAATGTAGATACCCATATATCTGATGCTACTAACATTCCATGATGTCAGGTTTGTTGTATATGCTACATTACTTACAAAAACAAAATCACATGGCCATTATATAGTTTTTTCGACTTGTGATAACATATCTGTCACTTGTCTAATGTACAATGTTTTGCGTGTATTGTGCTAAAGTCACTCAATAAAAAATTGATTGACGGGGGCGCAGCCACGACTCGAATGGCGCTAGATGCATGAGGGATTAGCTTTGTTGGCACACAACACAAAGCCTGATTCCTGAGCAAATAACCGGCTACCACATAGTCACTAGCCACCCTGAACCAAGAGAGAGCGCTAAGGCTAGCAAACTGGCCCGCAAACAATGTCAGAAAGCTTATTTACAGATTACAGCCCTGTCACTGTGCGCTTACTTACTTCAGAGTCTGAAGCCAGCGATGTCCCCTTGGTATCCCGGCAACCCTGTATTCTGCAAGCTGAACAGGACATCAAGCTCTTAATAGGGGATCTAAAGCAGATTATGAGGGCAGATTTTAAAAAACTGGCCTCAGATATCAGAGGGAGCAAGCTGTGCAAGCTATAGGCGACCGGACAGCTCATTTGGAGGACAAAATGGAGGAGGTAATCGAGGTGCACAACACCCTGGCTGATGCGTATACTACCATCCAATCCTAACTGTAACAGATGAAAATTAAAATGGTGGACAGGGCCCGCAGGAACAACATCAGACTGAATGGCACCCCCACGGACACCAAAGCACCTGAACTGAAGGAATACGTCACACAACTATTCTGGGTCCTACTACCAGAGTCAAAAGAACCAGACTTACATCTGGATAGAGTACACAGGCTAGCAAAAACCAAAGAATATACCATTGTCCGAGTGCACTTCTACACAGTGAAGGAAAGGCTCATGCTGGTAGCACTAGATCCACAAGGCCTGGAAGATTGCTTTGCAGGAATAGAACTGTATGCGGACATATCCCCAGCCACAATGGCGAAGTGTAGAGCATTTTCCCCCCATCACCAGAGCTCTGAGAGAGGCCTCTGTGCTGTGCAAGTGGGGCTTCCTGACCCGCCTGATAGAAGAAATGGAGCGGAGAAGATTATGCTTACCCCAGAAGAAGGACGGAAAATATTACAGCAATGGAGCATCCCCTTACCACAGCTGGACTCATCCACAAAAGCACCACTTGCCAGATGCTCCGGGTGACCATAGACTGTCACCGGGCTACTACAGCTAAGTGAAGACCTCATGTATTCATAAGGATTAAGTTAACTATTCAGGGGAACCTAATGTATTGTTACCTGTTATGATGCTTATGCACTTAGTGAGACCAGGGTGTGGGATTGTCTTTTGTCTAAACTGTGTGTGGTAGCTGTAGACAATAACTTGGGTACAGAGTGTCCAGTAGTATCTGGGAGTCCCAGTCAGGTATTTTCCAACACTTGTCTGGGATTAGCAGCAAGTTAAAACAAAATTAATAGTGGGGGATTATTGTCTAAACTGTGCGTGATAACTGTAGCTAATGACAATGAGTGCCCACTAATTAGTAGAAAATGAAAGAAGCTCAGAAGTCCTCACCCAGAGTATCTGGGAGTCCCCAGAGTATCTGGGGGTCACAGCAAGGTGTTTCCAACACTTGTCTGGGATTAGCGGCAAATTGAAACAAAATGCATGGTGAGGACTATTGTCTAAACAATGTGTAATAGCTTGTAATTGAAGACCATAAATGCCCACTAATTAATAAATCAAATAGAATAAAATCAACACTTTTCTGAGACTTGCATAAAATACCCCAGATACCTGAGGGGAGTATTGTCTAAACTGTGCATGGTAGCTGTAGTTTTAAGACAATAAGTCAGTTACAGAGTGCCTAGTAGCATCTAGCAGTCCCAGCCAGGTATTAACCAACACTGGTCTGGGATATGTTGCAATGTGATACAAAAATTTAGTAGTGGGGATTATTATATAAACTGTCACTGGTAGCTATAGTTAAAGACAAAAAGTCCAGTAAAGAGTGCCCACTTGTATCTGGGAGTCACAGCAGGGTGTTCCCAACACTTGACTGGGATTAGCGGCAAGTTGAAACAAAATGCAAAGTGGGGATTATTGTCTAAACTGTGTGTGATAGCTTGTAGCTGATGACAATAAATGCCCACTGATTTATAAATCAAATAGAATAAAAGCAACACTTTTTTGAGACTTGCATAAAATACCCCACATACCTGAAGGGACTATTGTCTAAACTGTGTGTGGCAGCTGTAGTTTTAAGACAATAAGTCGGGTACAGAAGTCCAGTAGTATCTGGGTGTCCCAGCCAGGTATTAACCAACACTGGTCTGGGATATGTTGCAATTCTATACAAACATTTGTAGTGGGGATTATCTAAACTGTGCGTGGTAGCTATAATTAAAGACAAAAAGTCAGGTAAAGAGTGCCCACTTGTATCTGGGAGTCACAGCAGGGTGTTCCCAACACTTGTCTGGGATCAGCGGCAAATTGAAACAAAATGCATAGTGGGTATTATTGTCTAAACTGTGTGATAGCTTGTAGCTGAAGACAATAAATGCCCACTAATAAATAAAACAAGATAGAATCCTTATCTTATAAGGAATGTCTACAAGGAGAGGGTGAGAGGAGGTTTCTATTGTGGCTTAATAGGTGATGATATGGTAAAAATAGTTACCCATAATGCTCTATGAAGCTGAAGAAATAGCTTGGATTTCTTCAGGGGGAGGGAAAAATCCTAAGATAATGTGCCCTAACAATATGTGCCTTCGAGGGCACCCCTTAAAAGTAATGCCTAGTATTCCCACTGCGATAGGATGAAACCTTCCTCCAATATCCTGAGAAGTATAACTAGAATAGAGACCCTGACTCACTAGTTAATTAAACCGCTCATGGTAGGTAGTTGTTAGTAGAAAGACTGCTGGTACAGTGTAAAGACTGCTGGTACAGTGGCTGTGGATAGCGCTAGTCAGTGCCCCTGACGCATTTTAGCCACTCTGGCTCATCAGAGGGGAACCAGACCCCTGGTTTAGTCCAGTTTAAAAAGGTAAAGGGTAGCTTTTATTGGTCCATTCAAAAAGGCAACAGACCAATGGGAAGTGACTGAGAGGGTTTAGCAATTTTAACCCCTCCAGTAGAGAAGTTGAATTGGAATAAAAAAAAATAAAAAATGATTGACTTTGTAGCAAAACCCAAACATGGGTTAGAGTACTGGGGGTTAAGTATGGTAACATAAAAAAAATTATAAAAATAAATAAATAACCAGTTGGAATTTGGAAATAATGTATATAGTTCAAGCTTTTTATTAAAGTATTATCCACAATAAATAAACAAGTGATGACCAGTGGTCATGGGTCTAATAATCCTATGTGTGAAGGAGTAATGCAGAACAATGTCAACCGGATAGAAGGTTGGACTGTGTGAATATTGCTACATTGTTGCTTAAGTCAATAGTGTTTCTCGTATTTGGGAAAGGAATTCTGGATTAAAACTAAAGTGTATGGCATAAGGAGCTACATAAAGTTGCTAGTTTTGAGGCTAGATAGATATTTAGGACAAATAGCAGGAAAATTATTAATATTTATCAAAGACAAATTAAGTTAAATATTGAGATGTAAAAATGGTTTGCAATAACTAATCTCTCGTAAAGAGTTAGTGAATGAATTGAGTGATGTTGAACTCCTCGTTGAGACCTAAAGGAGTTAAAGTCTTGAACTTGTGGATCCATTTTGATTCCCTTTTCAGCAGTCTAGTGTTGAAATCACCCTTTCTGGCATTAGTGGTTATTCTTTCGATTGCTTGGAATTTGAGGTGGATCTTCTTGATGTTGGGAGCGAACATGGTTAGATATATGGGTGGAAATGTTAGCATTAGTGACAGAATTAACATGTTGTAGTATGCGTCTGCGAAATTGTTGGTAAGTTTTACCAATGTACTGTAAATTGCAACTGCAGATGATGACATATACTATTTTTGTAGTGCTGCAATTTATGAAGTTTCTGACTGGGTGGCTATTGGTTCTGGTCCTATGTACAGTTTTAGAAGTGTTAATAAATTTGCAGGCCTTGCAGGAGCCACATTTAAAACCTCCCTTTGTCAGGGAGAGCCATCCAGGGGATCCAGAGGATTTTGTTTGGGTAGCCCAGTTCTTTGAATCTGGTTTTTATCTCTTTGGCTTCTTCCTGAAATGCTGCATTATTAGAACAGTTCCTGTGCGCTCTTAGGTATTGACCATATGGTATACCGGCTTTGAGTTTTACAGGCTGATGGCTTTGCCAGTGGAGAATATTATTAGTTGCAGTGGCTTTTCTGAATAACTCAGTTTCAACCTGTCCATCCATAGATAGTGTTATTCTAAGATCGAGGAATTAAAGTGTATTTGCGTCAATTACAGAGGTTAGTTGTAAACCAATATCATTGTTGTTTGATATTAACCAGTTGTTGGAACACAGTGACTGAGCCAGTCCAGAATAAGAGCACATTGTCAATGTATCTGTGCCAGCCAAGTATATATTTGCTGTATTGATAATCAATGTTTGTGAGCATAGTTTCTCCCACCACCCTAGATATAGATTTGCATAGCTTGGGGCATATGTCTTCCCTATGGCAGTGCCTTTTAATTGCAAATAGTAGGTGCGATTGAATACAAAGTAGTTGTGTGTGAGAATGAAGAGCAAGAGATCCAGTAGGACTATTCTGTGAGATGGGGAGTATTTGTGAGATTTATCCAAGAAGTATGATGTTGCTTTGATCCCTATTTTGTGTGGAATGTTATTGTATAACGAAACTACATCTAAACTTGCAAGAAGTGTGTTGAGGGGTAGCACAATATTTTCCAGGTTGAGCAAAGTCTCTTTAGTGTTCTAAGGGAATGAGGTCAGTTCGGTAACAAAAGGATGTATTAGATTTTCCAGAAATTTACTGGCATTTTCAATAAGGGATTGCTTGCCCAAGAAGATAGGTCTACCTGGTGGTTGTATGAGATTTTTGTGAACTTTTAGGTAAGCGATAGAAGGTGGCTATGGTTGGTAGGTTTCTAGGCATATTGAATCTCAATTCGTCTGTGGTGATTATATTTTCAGTAGGGTCTTAATGGATGTTAGATATGATGAGGTGGGGTCTCCATCTAGCTTTTTGTAACAGAGGATTTCGTTAAGATGGTGCATACACATCTCTATATATTGGTCCCTATTTAAGATTACAATGTTTTCCCCCTTATCCCAAGGTTTAATAATGAGATCTTTTCACATGCTAAGTTCACTTAAAGCTCTGCGCTCTCCAATGGTCAAATTGTTTTGTTCAATTCTTGGTACAGGAAAGGACTCTTTCCTGTCAGTTGTCATTTTTACAAATAGATCAAAGTTAATATTGTCTCTTAAATTGGAGGTAAACCAGCTTAGAGGTCTAAAGTTTGTAAGGGGAGGTGTAGTTTCCTGCTCTTCAAGGAGCTGTACCAATGATTGTAGATGTGTGTAGTCATCATTGGTAAGACCTAATTCTTTGGCAGCTTTATTATCCTTCCTTTTATGAAATGTGCATAGTGCGAGTTTGTGGCCACAAAGATTAATATCTTTAAGCCATTCAAACTTATCTGCACTAGGTGTAGGTACAAACAATAGGCCTCTATTCAGTAGGGAAATCAGATGTTATAGAGTAAAGTTGGAGAGGATTATAATTTTCATTTGGGTAACATCCATATCATTAAGATTTACTTTCTGAAGTTGGTCCATTGTGGTTTGTATGCCCACCTTTGTCGGTCTCTTAGTCGACCCTTCTGTGGTAGGGGCCAGTCCTGGTCTAAAAAAGAGGTAGAGCCAGAGGAGGATGCAGAAGTGGATAGTGGTGGAGTATCTAGAAAAGCTACTGTTTTGTTTGTTTCTTTCAGTATGCCTCTTTTTGTGGAGTGTGTTGCTCGTGTGGAACCAGTAGATGAACGCCTGTTGTGTGTTGAGCCTGAATCTGAGTCTGTCCATTCTGTTATCCCTGAAGAAAAGCTATTCCTATTATTGGTGCATATTTTGGATCTTTTGGTTTGTCTAAATTTCTCCCTTCCTTAAAGTCTCTGAAATTTCTTTGGAATTTAAAATGTTTCTTTTCCTTTATATGTATAGTGAAGCTATCAATATTTTTTTGTAATTTTGTTTCCATCAATGTGTAGTCAGAGTTGGTCTGGAATTCCTTCACCTTGGTGATTTTGTTCTTTGTTTATTTTTTCAAAGTTCTCTTCTTCGAGTTTGATAAGATATTGCACCAATTTGTAAGAGCAATCTATCAGTATATTGTTCCACACTTTAAGGTATTAACTTTTTCAGGTGTAGAGATCTCAGGTCTAAGGCCTCTATGCACTAATTTCTGGTCTAAGTAGTGGCGTAAACTGGTGACTTCCCAGTACCATTTTATCTGTAATTTGTAAAGTTGTTGGATGGAAAAGATTATGTTGTTAATATCATCAGGATTGTTTTTTCCCAGTGGTTCTAATGAAAAAACATTATAGATGTCATTAGGGCCAGCATTGGGGTCAGCTACACCAGATATAAATGTCGACATGTGCAGAGGATAAATGATGCAAGAAATGGGTATTGAAACCCTAGGTCTAAAATGTAAACATAAATATAGAAGGTATGCAGTAGCTTATCTTCTGAGTGGGGGCTAACCCCTAGTGAAATTAATTCACTAATAATGCACAAAAGTGTGAGGGGAACAGGAGAGAACAGATATTGGTAGAGTATCCTATGGAGTGGAATACCATATTAGTTGCAGGAAACAGTAAGGGTACAGTAGAGAACTTAATGCAACCTTAATTAATTTATTAAGCTGAAGTTAAAAGCAGTGACTACTGATGGTGGTCCCTTTTGTTATACACTTTATGTATTACGGTGATCTCTGTCATCCCACCCCCCAAGGCCCTTCTAAAGCCTTGGTGGTATCTATGACAGACGCCATTTCTGTGACATGCCTATTTGGTGGAGGCCAACACCAGCTTTCCACTCCTTTCATTAAATGCTAAGGGTCTCAACTCTCCCCACAAGCAGAGACTGGCACTACAGGAAGCAAAAAAGACTAAGACCCAAGTTGCCTTTTTTTTTTCAAGAAACCCACTTTGCAAAGAAGAAGAGAGGGGTCTCCATCCTCATTAGCAAAGATGTGGCATTCAAACTCATTAACAAACATGCAGACAAACTAGGGAGATTCTTAATAATACAATGTTACTTGAATAACGCTCCATACACATTGGTCAATGTGTACGGACCGCACACTAATCAAGTAGCTTTCCTAGCCAAGATTTTCCAAAAACTGGACAAATGGAGACTGGGAGAGGTGATAATGGGAGGAGACACCAATTTTCTGTTAGACACCCAGCTAGATGCATTGGCAACAGCGACGATAGCAACACCCACCGAACTTAGCAGAGAAACCATGGTACGAGGTACCAAATCCTTTCAGAGCATGAGTTTCGGACCCATAGAGAGTGACACACCCCCAAGAAAGAGACTTCTCATTCCACTCCCTTGTACACAATATGTACTCGCGGATGGACCGGTTCCTGATACCTACCTCCCTACTAGGCAATGTGGTCAACTCTACAGTATACACCATAACGTGGTCAGACTATGCCCCACTTCCCAGCTAAGGGCAAAGGCTCATTGTGGCTTAAAGAACACTTACTTACAGACCCAGTGATTTTGAAGGATGTTCACACAGAAATCACAAACTATTTCAAATTAAATCAACACCTGGAAACGTCAATAGAACATAGGTTGCTGGCACACAAGGCATATATTAGGAGTATTCATTAAACATGCTAGTAGAAGTAAGAAAGAGCGTCTCGCCAAATACTTAAATCTCACTAAACGACTTACTGAATTAAACATGCAGAACAATACTGAACCCCGAGCTAAACATCTCCAAGAGATTAAGGATATTAGAACCCAATTGCAAGAATTAGAACTATCCAAAACACATTTTTTTTGTTGAGGAGATTCAAATCTAAATTTTTTGGAACAAGGCAATTAGGCAATGAAACTTCTGGCAGCCAGGCTTAAACAGAGAACCCTAGCCACTAAAATTGTACATATTTATAACTCAGAGGGACAAAAAATTGTTAATCCAGACCTAATAGTACAAGAGTTTGCGCAATTCTGTCACAAACTCTATAAACTAAAAGTTGAACCTCACACGGTGCAACCTACTGAACAACGCATAAAGGATTTTCTAAAAGAAATTCCGTTAAGAGCTATACCCGAATCAAAAAGTAATTCAGCCAATTTCAGCAGTGGAAATACACAACCTCCTTAAACTTCTACTGCATGCCAAATCACCAGGTGTAGATGGTCTATCGGCCGAGGGGTTTTTCTTTCCATCATTTTATACCATTAGTGCTTGCTGTGGACTCATCTATGCTGTTTTTTTATTTTATTATTATTATTATTGTTCACTATTGTCTAATAAATTGCTTGTATTTTTAACTTATATCTCTTTTTCTCTGTTTCTAATTCTATGGGCTTGAGCCCTATCGCACATTCATTATACCAGGATGGGTAAATATGAGATTGTTTTTCTGGTTACCTAGCGCCCTCTGATGTGTGGTTTCACAAGTGTTTTTTAACTTGGACACTCACTGGTGGTTGTATATTGTATTTATAAGGGTTTTTTAAGGAGTGAACCTTTTGAGTGGCAGCTTTTTAACCAGCTCCTGCACGTGTGCTATATCCACTGTTTGTCTGTCATGTCACCATGAACCGCACATCACCCTAACATCTTCTCCTTCCTACTTTTCAACCACCTGCTTGCTTTCTTTCTCTCTTTCTCTTTCTTTCTTTCTCTTGCTTTCTCTCTCTTTCTTAGATCTATCCTTACTTTTATAACTAGTCAATTTCTGGTTAAAGAACCATAGGACTTTCTGTTAAATTAAATTGCTGAATGTTTTCCTTCGATACAGGGGGCAGGAGTAATACCACACAAAAAGGGAAGGGAATATACATAAGAGATGGAAAACAGTAGCAGGGGTCCCACGTTCACCCCACAAGGGGGAACCGGGGACAGCAAGCTGAGAATAGACGAGTAACCATTGTACTAGAATAAGAATATTTCAGTTTTCACTGAGAAGAATATGGATAAAGGGAAAAGATAGCATGTTTTCTATGAAATGTCTGTTATCACACACAACCCTTTGATGTACTAATGTAACACCTTTCCTACTTTCTGTACCTTAGTATCAACTTTGCCTTATAAAATCAATTAACTAAAATTGAAAAAAAAAAAAAATTGATTGAAATATTTTTTAGCTAGGAATAAACCAGGGTACAAAGAATAGAATTAACTTGTTTTAGGGCTGTGACTGTGTCTTCCTAAAGGGAAAATAACATATAAGCCAAAGTGTTCCAATAACAAACTAACATTATATCACATACTTTAGAAAATAAATATGCCTCACCTGTCCTACCGCTCCTCATTATGAAATGTGTCGTTCTTACTGGTTGTGTCGACCTCCTAACTTGCGGTGTCCAATTGCAAATGCCCAGTGGGCCACGATGGCCATGGGCCGAGGCTGAGAGTGGAGGTCACAGGATCTCACCTGCCAGTCTATGCAGGGCCGGCGCTATCCGAGCATCGGCCATGCTTTGTACCTTCATGGGCCGGTGGGGAGATCAAAGATCTCCCTCACCGGTCTACAGGTATTGATATGCAGCTGGAGGGAGGCAGGAAAGGGGAGCTCTAGCCAGCTGGTCTGCCGGGTTCCTCTCACGAGGTCGGAGCGTTGCAGCGGTTACCACGGCAACACTCACATCTCGCAAGAGTGAACTCTAGCCCTGCAGGTTAGAGTTCACTCTCACCACTAAGACTACCAGGGATGCAGCCCGGCCCCCCTCCATGGCAGCACAGCTCCCCCCTCCCAGGCTAAAGGTAAGAAGGGAAGTGGTGATATAACTATTTTTTTAAATAAAAAAAATACATATTTAAATGAACATATTCACACACAGCACACTCACACTAACAACACCCTCACACACACACACACACACACACACAGCACCCTCAGACACACTCTCTCTTTTTTTGCCGCCCCCTGGTTAGTGCCTGCAGGGGGAACAGCATTCCTGCTGTGAAAAAAGTGCAGGAACACCATTCCCACACTTTCCTGCAGGACTCAAGCCCTGTCTTTGTCCCTATCTGTTCTGAACTTAATACGGTGAAAACATTTTCCGGGTACCTCCTGTGTAAAGGAGCAAGAACCCGGATTAGCTATACATCATGACACCGACCTTAACCTAATATGACCTTATGTCACTTTGTAAACAACCTAATTGGTATCTTCAGATACCAGATATTTCACTGCCAAGTGAGAAAGCTGGTTGACAGTGAAATGTGTGTAAAATAAAGTGTTGTATAAAACTTTGTTGGCTTATATTTTATGTCTCTCTGATTAAAAAAAAAAAAAAAAAACATAGAGAGAAGAAAGCTTAAATGTAGCACTTGGAATAGAAAATAAAAAATGAGAAATACAGGATAAATGATTAAAATTGGATAATAAGTTAATAGTGAGTATTAAATAAGTTACTTTGTATGATGAATAATGTGGAATAATGTAGCAGATTATTTATTCATTCTATATTGTAATCATCCCTCTATGTCTCAAGGAGGAAAGTATGAAGCATGTACAAAATATATGCACTATGTAGGCTATTTAGATACATTTCTAGTGCAAATTGGATTAAAAAGGACATGGAAACATGAGTACATGCTTTCACTATGGTTTAAAAATGATAAGAGGATCTAAACTTTTAAAATTAACTGCCTTAGTTGATTAATATCTGTACTTATAATATATTAGCCAACTTCAATTCAGCATTTAGTTCTTAAAGGACCACTATAGTGCCAGGAAAACATACTCGTTTTCCTGGCACTATAGTGCCCTGAGGGTGCCCCCACCCTCAGGGACCCCCTCCCGCCCGGCTCTGGAAGGGGAAAAGGGGTAAAAACTTACCTTTTTCCAGCGCTGGGCGGAGAGCTCTCCTCCTCCTCTCCGCCTCCGATCCTCCCCGCCGGCTGAATGCGCACGCGCGGCAAGAGCTGCGCGCGCATTCAGCCCGTCGCATAGGAAAGCATTTACAATGCTTTCCTAAGGACGCTTGCGTGCTCTCACTGTGAAAATCACAGTGAGAAGCACGCAAGCGCCTCTAGTGGCTGTCAATGAGACAGCCACTAGAGGATTAGGGGGAAGGCTTAACCCATTCATAATTATAGCAGTTTCTCTGAAACTGCTATAATTATGAAAAATGGGTTAACCCTAGAAGGACCTGGCACCCAGACCACTTCATTAAGCTGAAGTGGTCTGGGTGCCTAGAGTGGTCCTTTAAGGGGCTAAATGTTGGATTGCTATTATGGTATATTGTAAAATAGTATGATAAGGAATGTTTATCAAACCCCCTTTTTATGTTGTAGGCATGTTCCCTAAGTCTAGTCTTCAATGTTCTCTTAGTTTGACCCACATATTTAAGGCCACCTCGACATATAGATAAGGAGTTTAAGAATGCGTGGGATATCCATAAGGCTATCCTAACTATAAGATAAGGCCAGGGACTAATGAAAGTATTTTAAAAATTGTGCAGACTATATGGGCTGAATGGTTCTTGTCTGCCATCACATTCTATGTTTCTATGTTTCTAGATAACTTGCTTGGTACTGCATGTGATACTCTTTTATTTCAAATGTTTGCCCTGTTACAAAGTACTGAAATGTGGCTGTTTTTCCTTTTTTGGAGCCTGCTAGTTTTCATACATAACAATTTCCACACTTAAAATAACCTTTCTCTGTATTTAGGAAATGTTTACCTACAGTAGGGTTCTTGTAACTGTGCACTAGTTTGCTCCTCAATGTGGGTGCTCCTATAAATATCACCTTTCATGGGTAGGTGGGGCGCTAATATTGGATCTTGATGTAGCAAATGCCAATGTTTGAAGATGCTTTTCTTTAGAAAATGTGTTTGTGCACTATAATTGAACACTAAAGGACATAGATTATTTGTGGGTTTTTCTGCTAATTTGTGGTTTTGTGTGTGCTCATTTTTTGTTTTTCAATAATGTGGAACGGTCTATACTTTCCACTATTTGTAGGTCTGTTCTAAAGTTGTATATTGTAATTCTTGTCAGCAAATTGTTGTTTTACATTATTTAGTTGCAATTCACATACTTTTGGATCTGAGCAATTTTTTTTTTTTTTACTCTTAAGAATTGACTATATGGAAAGCTTGATTGCCAAGAGGGGTAGTGGCAGCATGAGGTCCAAATAAAGCTGTTTACATCCACGCTCTTAAAAAATGTCTTGGACTTCAAGCTCTGTTGGTCTGTGTACAGCACCAAATCCAGAAAATCTATACTGGTATGACTATATTTGTATGTGAAAGATAAGTTGAAGTCATTAGTGTTT